AAAATTTTAACATAATCAGTCAAAGCAGGTCAGAGTTATGGCACTAGAACCACATTCATTAAAACAAAATGGCCGCCAGTCGGTCATTTTGAATCTCATCTGAAAAACAAAATGATGTTCATCAAGGTCATATAATGTCTAATGTATATACCAATTTTGAACAAAATCCATCTGCAAACAGCCGAAAAATGCTTGATTTTGATGATTTTTAGCACAAAAATAGCCGCCATTCAGCCATCTTGAATCAGATCGTGAAACAAATTGACGTGCATATGTATAATATCATGTATGATGTATGTGTGAAGTTTGATTGTGATTGATCCAGGCATTTCTAAAATACAGGACGCACGCATGCACACACGGTCGCACGGAGGTCAAAATATAAGTCCCCGTTTTCGGACTGCATTCGAACGGGGACTAATAAATCAAAATATCTACCTTGTATTCTTGTTCTTTATCACTACCTCCATCTACTTCTTCGTCAGGTCGCTGTAAGTCAGCTGAGCTTCGACGGCTACCTCTAGAGCCTCTGCCACTACCAGCTGATTCCTGCCTCTTTTTACCAGAACTCAAACTTGAACCACTTACAGACGTGTGTAATTTACTACCTCCTCGTTGTGCTGCAAAACAAACAAAAACACCATTCACTGCAAGGTGAAATCTTTAAAAAATATCGCTTTTGTTATCTACATAAACACTAGTATATAAGGAAGACACCGAACAAAAACCTGAACTGCTGACAGTGTTTCACACATGGTTTATAATGGACTTCAAACAATGGAGATCAGTACATATCAACTATTGTGAACATAGAGTTACAGTTAAATCTATTTTTGGTTGCTTTTATTTGTAGAAATTTGATATATGTGACCACGAACAATACAGCAATGATTTAAGCCACTAATAATAATAAATTGTGTTACATGTGAGGAGATTTAGTCCACGAAATGAAAGAAGATACACAAAAGTAGCATTCATAGATGTTGCTTATCTAGAAATAAAAGCCCATGTCATACAATTTAGTATTGGCCAATGGTTATGTCTATGGACTGATGTTATATGTAGAATACTTGTTCAAGATGGTAGTGATCGCAAAAGTTCTGCTGGATTTTTAAAAGATGCCAGCATGCATTTTGAAGATAAAAATTCATATTTAACACCTGAAAAGCATATTATAAAATAATTGCACAAATATGGACATATTCACAAGGAGAACAAGGAGAACAATTGACCTTTTTGCGTCGGACGAATTGATCTTCTGAGTTCAGCTACAAACGCCCATATTAGGCTGGTAATAAATATGCTACATTTACTTACATGCCCTACTGCTGGACCTTCTAGGTGGTTGATCCTCTCCTGAATCTCTATCGCGTAAGAATGTAAATGATGGAATAACAACGTGACCTTTGCCTGTAGTCTTAGCAACTTCCACTTCGTTATCCAAGACTTGTAATAAGATATAGACATCAGATTTAGATGTAGAGAGTTGAACTGCAGCTATCTGGTCTTCAGTCACCTTCACTGAGTATCTGAAATAATGAGTAAAAGGTGAATGACGATTAAACGACGGCACACGTGATATATTCATTGATGGCGATCACAATTCAAACCGCTCAACTGAAACTATAATTGCATTTTGCTTGTTAGAATTTGAAATTTTAACTTAACATTGTGTTATAAAAAGATTATTCCAAGAATGGCGATCATATCGACCGGCGACATTTTTTCTTTACTGTAGTCATAATTTAGCTTGATATATCAGTGAAAAGCGTTTTTTGGTTTTATTGTTTGTGTTCAGTGATGGGTTTGCGTCCAATGTAAATAAATGAAGGGTTTCAAATGCGATGCAAATAAGATACACATTTTACAAATAAGGAAGATGTACCGAACAAATGCGAAGACACCCATAGCATTTTAGAACACATCTGTACAGGGTTTTTTTTGAGACAGATGTACAGTAGTGTGTATACGGTGCTGAGATCTTAAACTTAATCACTAGCTACTA